TGGTTACACAATGTTATATGGGCTCCATCCTAATCATAAGGATCAGAGAAGGAGGCATGGTGGCCAAATGGTTAGTGCACTGGACTCTAGATCAAGCAGTCCTGTTTTGGTCCCTGGTGGGGATCATTGCATTGGGTTCTTAGGCACAATATTAACTCTCAAAGTGTCTCATCTCTTCCAGATGTAAATATGGGTAGTAGTTGGTGGGGAATAACCCTGCATTGGACTGCAAGTCAATATGAGGTTGGTAATGGCTTCCATATTTATACATGTAAACCTCCTGTGATAAGAGTCATGCACCTGCCTAGCACCTATGTTAGCATGAGTAACTCCTACTTGTAGACAATACTGATATATGAACTAATTATGACAATGTACTCTCTTCCTTTTTCTTACTCAGACAACCATCTGTTTAAACCAAATTTCTGTTTTGTATTTCATTTTGAGGGATCAAAAGATTGCCACTGTGTATCATCATGAGGAAATAATAAATATTAAAAATATGATTGATCTCAGGAAAAAAGACAACAAACGACTATGGCTGCAATAATTTATTTATTCTTCTTTTGAGATGTTACTGAATCAAATCAAACCTACAGTTCCGATCATCAACATAAAACAAAATAGAAAGGTATTCTGGAGAAAGGCACAATTCTTGCTACTCATTCTTACATTGAGCAATAAAAATAACATAGTCCGAAGTAAATTGAGCTGAAATGAAGCTTACGTTTAGACACTTTACTTACCCAGAGTAAAAGAGTGACAAAAGTGGGCTATTTTTCCAGCATAAACCCGCAAATCTGCACTGTAGCTTCTTCCACCATCGTATTCGACAAAATATAAACGTTTGAAATTTGTAACTCGACGAACCCACTAAAGGCATAAATCTTCATCTATCTTAAGATTTTGACAGTCTTTTCGTACATTTTACCTTCGTCAGTTTGATGATTCACATACATGTATGAGCCCCGTCAATGATCTATGCCGAGAAACCTCTTTGCTGCAAACATGGCTTCCAGGCCAATATTGGATTAGGATGTTTCGTGTTGGCTAAATGATGAAGAAGGATATTTCGTGTGTACATAAACCATCAGTTTTGTGTATACGAGTGAACGGTTTTAATTGAAATCAGTTCGTGTGTGATTGAACGATCATTTTCCTCAATTCGTTTGGCCTTCTTGTGTTTCTTCCAGTTATCAAAGACGATAAACATGGAAACTAGTTGGCACAAAGGTTACTGGGAGATTCAACATGGCGGAGACAAGTGAACCTGTTATCAGTTTATAGTTTTTCTTTGTGACTCGTCAATTAGGTAACAACGAATGCTTTTAAAACCTGTTATACTGCTATATCAGCTCAAAAATAAAACTTATTTCATTTTTATTTGGTTGAACGTTGCGGAGTGGAAAAAAGTGAATGCTTGGAAGGTCCTAGTGATCCGACAAACGGTGATATAGTAAAAAGATCTTCTAAAAAGATTTGATTCTCTATTATGGGACGCCAATATTTTTCTGCAGCCAGGAAAAGTAGTTGTTGAGACTGGAAAGGAAGGCTTCTTACGAAGGACCTTAGCGTATGGTTTCCAATATGGCATTGGGGTGTTTTGTCATACTGAGGCAGGAGAACATCAAATTGGTTCCCAAAAATGGGAGGCAAGTTGAGTATTTTCATACTAGTGAAGCTTTATGAAATAGTTAATACGTGTAAATAATCTTAAGTAAGTTTTGTCGATAATTATGTGGAAAATTTACTGTCAGTAGGTGAGTTTTATGTAAATCATGGCTCTTTTCTTAAATTTAAAATTTATCTCGCATGTGCCTCTTTTTTATAGGTTTGTTTAATATTGGTTTCTGTTTTGATATTATTACACTAAGCATATAACCCATGATTTTTCTTGGTTATTTATACACTAGCTTTGACTATTTATACATATATGTAATTAAACAGTAACTATTGTGGTAATTCTGACTAAGCATTTTTAGTTAAAATGGTTTGAAATCTGGATATTTTAGACAATGGTGACTTGTGTGGATACTAAAGTTACCAAAATGATTATTCCATTTATTACACCCATTTTGAAATCACTGGTGGTCCCTGTTATTTGATTGGCTCTAATTGATGGAATTTATTCATGAATCACATCAATTTTTTTTTTTAAATCACATCTTTTTCCAGCCAATGAGGAGGCTACTGTAAAAACAAAACAGCCAATCAGATTTCAAGGCTTGTTTAAAGTAACCAATCAAATTGCAGGAAAATGAAAGAGTACCATGCCAAATTTTGCAACTTTTGTTTCCAAAACTCTTTCCCCCCCCTCCCCCCCCCCCAAAAAAAAAAAAAAAAAATGGATGAATTTAATTTCAGACTGGCTCAGTACTGCATCAATAAAATATTTGAACTGACCAAGTACTGTATTTGGGCGATTTCAAAATGGATGTAAGAAAGTGGTGTTTCAGCCCAAATTGCATTCCACTCAGTTTAACACTTGAGTCGAATAAAATCACTGTCAATTTTTCTTAGGTCGCCCAAAGTAGCCCAAAAATTAATAATGTAATGTCCCAGAGTAGGCCTCCCTGTGTTTCAATTTCTAAGTTAGAAAAACCCACTGCATTGATTTAGACGGTTGAGGACAATCTCAAGGTCAGCTTTGGCTAACCTTAAACTAAGGAATTTTATTTGTAAATGTGCTCTTTCCATGCTTTTCTAAGGATGAATTTGGCCAAGGGTTTAGATGGTAGTGTTACTTAAACCCAGCAAGAGACTAATCATTGTTGTTTATTATCAGTACACCTGTAATAAGTATCTTAAAGCTATTTCATAGCATTACATGTAAATATGTACATTTTTTGATACAAAATAATCTTAACTCTCTATCAAGAAAAGTATTAATTATAAGCAATATATGTTTGGGGTGAAAGGGGCATTTTTGATAAAGAATAACGTTCTTTCAATTGGTTAATTAATGCCTGGCACTTTTCACTTTGCACTGCAACAATTCTTAACACAAACAGCTGTGCACTGAAGTCTTTTTAGCACATAGTTTCTTTCCTTTGTGAGTGAACCTATGTAGTTTTTTTAAATCTCTTTGAAACCAGAAATGAATTTACTAAATAGAAATAGAATAAATAGAAAGAGCCTACTATTGCTAACTTAATGAAAGCATCTAAGGATTACTGTGAAAAGCCCACTTGTTTTTGAATAACAAGAAATGTTTTGCTTTAACTTAAACTCAAAACTGATAAATGACACTCATCTAAAAGTTTATTATGTTATTTCAAGCGATAAATTAGTTCTTTATTCTGTTCACAAGACACATCTACAATCGTAACCGAAATATTCATACATGTAAAATATGGAAACCACATCCACAAGTGCACTATTCTTTGGATAGAAAAAGTTCTGAGTGTGTAGCCTCCTCTCACTCTGTATCCTTCTTGTTTGGAGGCAAGATTGAACATCGAATTTGCAATATTTGGACGGTCGTAAGTTCTCAACAGGTTTGATTTTCTTGATTTCAGTTAGGCTGACCCAGAATGTTTTTTCCAATTTTAAAGACTTTCTAATGCAAGACACAAAAAGCTTCGCTTGTAAAATGAAACTATTAATCTCTGAAAAGGTGCTATTATTTTCTTTTTGAGCTGATTAAATTTGAAATCTGGGTATTTCGTTAAAGCGCTACTTCAAATTCTAGTCTAGCTGCATTTTTAACGTCGCCTTCTACCTCCACCGTCTCAACGTCGTCGTCATCCTCATCGATCCCCATGTTTTGAATTCCTTTCTCAGCTTCATTTGTCTGTATCTGCTGGTTGGCTGGTTTTTCATTGAGTGAGATGTCGGCTTCTTTTTTTGAGTTTGAGTTTTGTGGTGGCTGAAATGATGTATCCCCGGAAGATTTCACCGCTTCCAAGAAACCATTGGTGTTGGTAATATTATCTGTCGTGTCTGTGCTTCCAAGTTTTTCACTTGTGTCCAATACTGAGGGACGTCTTATAAGAGCGGGTCTCCAGCACAGCAAAGACAGATAAACAGGCATGATGCACAAGCCATGAAGGAGCCCGAGCATGACGATGCCAAAGAACATTCTGAAGAAAATTCGAAATATCTCGGATGCAGCAAATGCAAGTACAACCATACCAAGGAACGTACTGACTCCTAAAACATATTAAGAAGAAAAGATCAGCGGATGCTGCGACGTGCATAACACTAAAACCTTAAGTGATGGAAGTTACTAAAAAGCAGAAATTAATCTCACTTAAAGTGGTTCCTTGAATAAAACTAAGGATGGATTTTTTAATCAACCCCGGCACATGCGAGAAATTTTTATTTTATCAACTGAGTTGATAAAGACCATTAGACACTGTAAAGAGATTATAGAGCTGATGTTTTGAGCGTTAGCCCTTCGTTGGAAAAGATTGGCTCAAAACATCAGCTCCATAATTTATATATGATGGCCAATTTCCATTATGAACTCAATAGATCCAAATTTTCTTCTAATACCTCTCACTGAAACAGGGCCACAGACTTTTAAACTTGTTATACACTCCAGGAACACAAGAATGTCAATATGTTTATAAATGCTTACTTTTCTCAGCCATGTTTTTACAACAATTAATTTAGCTTCTGACGTACCTCCCATGAAAACACTTGCACCCAACGTGCTCAGAGCATCCACAACTCGCTCATCGGCTGTGACTTTGCTTGACGTAATGTAAGCATGGGCAATGTGGGCACTGTAGTCAACTGCAAATCCGATGGCCATTACCAGGTTAATCATGGAAACAGAGTTCAGAGACACATCCCAGATTACCATCAAACCAAATAACTCGCAAACCAGCGCTGCGAAGTTAAGCACCACCACGAACGTCACAGTAAAATCCATCAAAAGGGGCTTGTGACAATTACCACCGTTAAGCCTGCGATTATCAGGTTTCTCAGGGTCTCGTGTGACGTAATTGCGTATTGTTCAAAGAATATAAAGGATCGAGTGATTGGAAAGGCATTCAGTTTGGACTTCTTTGATATGTCTTCACGGAGTGTGAGCATAGCGTTTTTTTCTGGAAGGTGGAGCTACCCGAATCCTTCATATAGCCTACTACGCGAGAAGCTTCTATTTTGGTCTCATCCTCGGATAACTTCACGTCCTGTGTGAAATACGAGAACTCGGGAATACGAAGGAATGTTTTCAATTCTCGTAGAAAACCTGAGCCAGTAATGTTTCTCTTCGACTTCTTAGCATACTGGGCAAATGCATCCATCCAGGATAGTGATTGGTTCTTGTAATATTCATTTTCCTTGAATACGTTCGTTAATTCTTTAATGTCGCTCTGCGTGGACCTCAATTGGTAATCAACCTCACCAGTCTGCACGATACTCACTCCAATGGACAGCTCAAAGTACTTTCCTTGAGCTGTCAAAAACTGCCTCAAGTAGGAATCATCTCTGGCCAATACACGTCTATCAAATGACTCATCCACCTGAGTGACTCCATATATCCCAGCACCAAGCAGTGACAGAGAGAAGAGTATAACCAGAACTTTTGTAATTGGAAGGGTCAATAATGTGCCCCAGTATTTCATAACTTTATTTGAAGTTTGGGGGAGGAGGCTCATCCCATGCTGGTTTACCCTCTTTTTGGCCGTGGTGCCAGGCAGAATGGGAGGAAATCTCGACGGCCAGATTTAATTCGTCTAACGTCGTATGTCATAAGGGCCACAAAGAATGTGACAACCATCAGGAAGGAGAAACGTCACTGTCAAGGCAGCATAAACACAGAAATACCTGAGAAAAGAAAGTAACTAAGTTTTAATATAGACGATTTCACTGAAATACTCTACAACATTTGACGAAATTTTAGAACTTGGAAGCCAATTAAGTGACATTTCACGCCACCATTTCTGCTTACAGCTCAGTCATACAAGGGAAAAAAAGATATCCCAAGAAACTGTGACCATTTTTATCAGAAAATCAATTCATTGGCTCCTGTCACAGCTCGACATCTCACTTCAATAGTTTGCAGTTGAGTTTTTAAAAGAAATCAATAGAGGTCACTTGATAAATCCGGATCCTTTAAACAATTACGCCATTGCTTAAAACATGATGTTATTGTCTTCATCTTCCCAAGATGGAGAAGCACTGGCTATCAATTGAAGTATCTTACCTAATGGCGGGAAATGAGGTAGACGTGCTGACCGCAAACGCAACCAAATCAGTCATAGTTGTCATAGTAACTGTTGCACCAGAATGCTTCATAACCGCTTTGATCTTTCCGGTTGTCGACAGGTCACGTGGCTGCCGATCAAGTTCGTCGACCATGATGAACATGTCATCGATGCCGATTCCAAGAACCAAGAAAGGTAGCACCCCCACCAAACTAACAAAAGGTACACGGAGCCACATACCAAGGCCGAGCCCAGACAAAATCCCAAGGGCAACTGCGAAGACCCCTCCATTAGCAAGTAAAGCATGACCAGTCAACGGATTAAGGTACTTGCCCAGCATGAAGCAAGCAAAAGAGATCATGCAGGTGAATGTGATTGACACCAGTTTAACATCAGACCCGGTACTTGCACTTATAGCATCATCCAGGCTCCTTTCACTTGAATAATGGACATCGAAGCACGAAAGTTTGTCCACTAGCGAGCCTAGTTTGTCAATGAAAGCCTTCTCCCATTTGAGAATCTTGTCACTCTCATCATCGTCCCTCGGATCACGAAGGAGATAAATCATTTGCAAAGCTTTGGCGTCGGTTATGCTTCCATGTTTTCGAGTGGCCTTGCCAAACATTCGGTTGAAATTCAACCAGAATGGGCGTCCATTACGCATGAGTAAACTTGTGTCGTTGTAGGATTTGCTCAGTTCCCGTTGGACATCATGTAAGTCCTTTCCGTTCAAGTTGCTTTCATTGAACTGCAAAAATTCTAGTGGATTAATCATCGCACATCCGTTTGTTGACCTGGATTTGTTTCCCGACAACGTGACACAGAGGTCTGAAAACGATTTCAGCTCCATGACTGCATCGTGAGCTCTGAAGGCCTGTTTCAAACACATCGGGGAAAGAGGATTAGGATTACTGGGAGAGGCCACCAGTAGGATGATTTCCTCTCGAAAGTCGACTCGGAAGTATCTCTCGGCAGTCTCCAAGTCGTCTATTGCCTTGCTGTTTTGAGGGATGAACAGTTTTACGGTTCTGTTTTCTGAATTGAACCAAACAAAGCCCACAGAACAGACGCTGACAAGTATGAGACACAACTGGATTGTTATCAGCGGATGTTTGGCGATCCCTGTACCATACCAGCCAAAGAAGCGTTCCAAAAAACGCAAGTACCATTTGCAGAGTGAGGACCACAGATGACATGGAAGAAACCGGCGTGGATAGCAGGGTCTAGAAAAAACACACATCGAGAAGTGAATTTTGATATGGGTGTTTGAAGTTTACTGGAAGAGAGTTGTCTACCAGTCCCAAAATATTTGAAACATTTCCTGAACGCTCTTCCCCTCGACCTGAAGATTTTCAGCAGGTCTGATTGTGCAGGGTGCATCAAACATGGCAAGACATGATCTAGCCAACGGCTCTCTCATCGTGTTTTTTGCTATTTTTTAAATTTCTTTTTCTGGCATTAAACAATACCACTGTATTACAGATGACAAAGGATTACAAAGAAAAGAATAAATCCAAGGAATACCATGAACTTGCCACAGAAAGAAATGGAAAGACAAATAGCATATAATGCACACAGCTTGCTACATAGTTTTTACGACACGTGTAAATCTTATTTATGGCATAGCCATGAGCCAGCCACCCTTTGGGTCTGATCAGCGGTTGACAGCAATTTATCAATCAATGTACTATTTGATGCTTTACCTCAAAGTTTTAGTCGCAGAAGTACCTCGAGTTCGCTGTACGACCCAAAATGAGAGGCAAAACCTTAGATGGGATAAGTATCTAAAGAAACTGTGGTGCTGTCTTGGTGTTGTTATAACCATCATACTTCATCATTACGTAAACCTTGACCGAAAAGACGAGAATTGTTTCCGAGCGAAATTAAAATTACTATTCGATCAGTTCCCTATCGAGCTCTGAATCCTCTGACTACCAGAATTTTACCGTACAAATACCTAAAATCATCGAAGTCTTCCTCAACGTTCGCCCTCTCATCGAATCCTTTGCTTAAATTATTTTCTTCGCTTTGTGTCATCCTTTTTTCGGTTCTTCTCTAACTCCGAATATTTTGTTGCTGCACATCGCGTTCATCGAGATATTCCCACTGCCTTCTCGAATAAAAGCTTTCTCTAGAACATTTTTAACTAGTAATAGCAAAACAGGTTGTTGTGTAGTTTGAAACATCACGTACGCACACGTACTATTTCCTTTGTCAAAACAAACAAGCAGATAAAAGTGTCAGATAAACCAGAATTTAACATCGAAGGTGTCAACTTCCTTATATTCACGAGTGAAGCCAACACGTTTCTGAATCGCGTAACGTAAACAAACTCACCGCTTGGTAGTTTTCTTTTTTTTTTCAAAATAATAGCAGAACTATTCGTTCTCGAAACTTTCATTCCATCCTGAATTTATTATCACTGACACCTGAAGGGAAGAACGTCACGTCGCACAATCGTTTGAGTCACGTTTACCTCGAGTATTAGAATTTAAGGGGGCGGGGTAAGTTTCTAAAGAAACTGTAGTGCTGCGTCGGTGAGAGTAACGAGGTAATTTTGGTTTTATAGACTGAGTTGATAATGTAAATTGGCCACCGTAAAGAGTTTCAAAGCCGACGTTTCGAGCGTTAGCCCTTTGTGAGAGCGAATCATTCGCTCTCAAAAAGGGCTAACGTTCGAAACAAATACCTAAAATCATCAAAGTCTTCTTCAACGTTCGCCCTCTCATCGAATCCTTTGCTTAAATTATTTTCATCGCTTTGTGTCATCCTTTTTTCGGTCCTTCTATACATCCGAATATTTTGTTGCTGCACATCGCGTTCATCGAGATATTCCCACTTCCTTCTCGAATAAAAGCTTTCTCTGGAACATTTTTAATTAGTAACAGCAAAACAGGAAGTTGTGTAGTTTGAAACATCACGCACGCACACGTACTATTTCCTTTGTCAAAATAAACAAGCAGATAAAAGTGACAGATGAACCAGGATTTAACATCGAAGGTGTCAGCTTCCTTATATTCACGAGTGAAGCTAACACGTTTTTGAATCGCAACGTCAACAAACTGACCGCTTGGTAGTTTTTGTTTTAATCAAATAACAGCAGAACTATTCGTTCTCGAAACTTTCATTCCATCCTGAATTTGCTATCACTGACACCTGAAGAGAAGACCGTCACGTTGCAACATCGTTCGAGTCACGTTTACCTCAAGTATTAGAATTTAAGGGGGGCGGGGGTAAGTTTCTAAAGAAACTGTAGTGCTGCGTCGGTGAGAGTAACGAGGTAATTTTGGTTTTATGGACTGAGTTGATAATGTAAATTGGCCACCGTAAAGAGTTTCAAAACCGACGTTTCGAGCGTTAGCCCTTCATCATTCGCTCTGACGAAGGGCTAACGCTCGAAACGTCGGCTTTGAAACTATATTATATTTTTAAGTTTGCAAGCATAATTGTTTTAATCCGTTTTTGATTGTGGAAACTTAAAGCGATCCAAATCATGATCACGATCATGATTAAGGTATGTAAGATGCAGCTGATGGACGTAGGTTGCAGTTATCCGAATATTCTTAGACAAACGATTTGTACAAAAAATAAAGGCCTTTTTTCCGATGCTTTTTTGTTATTTTCCTGTTCAATCGAAAACGGCGAACTTACACGTTTTCTAAGATTTCACACGTACAAAAATGTATTTTCTCCCTCTCGATGACATATCTTCGTTGATACTGGTTGCTTGCAACTGTCACGCTATCATTAGTCTCTGATTGGATGATAGATAGGAACAATCCAATCAGAAGGAAGGACACGGAAAGTAGTAATCGCTTTTCCGACATATGTGTTCGGTTTCTTTACATGCAAGAACCAAACGAACAAACCAACATGAGTATGGTAGGCAATTGCCGAAGTTGAGGGAAATATGCTGTAAAGGACATTTCCACATTGGCAATAATTCGTGGGAGGAATTCCTTTTTATTTAACGATTATTCGCCGCAAGGAAAACGTATACTGCCGACTTGTTATTTGTTTTCTTTGAGTTTCTGCCTCAGAGACTTCAAACATCGCGTGGTGGCTATTTTTATGTCACCTTGTGCAGGGCAATAACGGCAAGAAATAAAGTAATCCTAGCACAAACATTCACTACCTTCGAAAATCCAATATTCCATGGAGAAAAACGGGTGCTCTGTAGGAAACTTTATCATTTACCAACAACATAATCATCTATAATATCAAGCAAACTAAAGTTAAAAAACTCTACCCACCTTGATTGGTCTGATTTCTTAACTTGTTCGAGTTCTGATTTGAATTTGCCCATGATGGAGCGAAAGTGACTTCAACAGTAGTGCTAGTCTTGCTAAAAATTAACTGATGAGTCCGACTCCTCTGGTTTATATGCTTTCGGTGCACGTGCCAAATGACAATGTTGCGCTTCAGCGCTCGACAAAGTAATTATTTTTAGCTCACACCGGAAGTTTTAAAGTCCATTATCCGCTCCCCATGACATGGACATGGTGATTCCGAGTGGAATCTCTACCTTAAAATATACGGAAGGTTATCATTTTTTTACTTTTGTCATGCGGCTTTTCAACTAACCTTTTCACAGCACTGTGGTGATTGGAAAGTACGTAATTTTATGTAGCTAGCAGTCTAGTATAAATATATCTGTAAAGTTGTCCACGTTATCTAGGTTAGGTTAGGTTTAGCAAGTGAGTAGTTGTGTATCTAGCGATTTAAGTTTTTTCCACGTTCTTTTTAAGCGTTTATCTGCGCTCCATTCAAACACAAGAAGCACCAAACGTGATTTAAAGGAAAGAGACCTTTATCTGCTTTCGCACCACGTTTTTACAAAATAAAAATAAATTTAGAAAGTGATAGATGCATTTTGTTTATAAGGAAAGAACGGAAGTTCTGCATCGAAGTCGAGTAGTACGTGACATTTCCTTTAGAAATCATTGGAAATTATGCATCATTGTTCGGTGTGAACGCTTCTCACGTTCTCCGCGCTTTGGGCGGCGTGAACCAGAGTTAGAGATTTCGTGGACTTTACCTATTTTCTTTAAAGACAAGTTTGTTACTCTATGCATATTGTTAGCTTCTTTTGAAAGTCAGAAGAGTCTCAGTATTCATGATTCATTAAGAACGCAAATGAATAAATTGAATTCGCAGTGTTATCCCTGGCTTTTATGAGCTCGATAACACATTACAGAAAGAGAAAGCGCGGACCATGCTGCTTCTTTCTTAGGGATCAAGCTCGCCAATTGAATTGCTTGCGGGCAATATATCACGGGGATGAACCGTTTATTCGTGCAGCAAAAATCAAGCAAGAGGCACAAACCAAATTTTCACTTTATTAAGAGATCGATTCATCGGTTGATTAACTTGACCGTGGATAACAAACCTTTCTTGCATAGTCCACAGACTAGACAATGAATGGTGTTTAGGGAGTACATATCCAAGAAATAAAATATGGTCGTTACCATACGCTGTGAACAGTCAATTTTTCCCCTGAAGCAAACATGAAAAGCATACGACGTTTGTGATTACCCGCCTCCAGCACAAAAATGTTATTTGATTCGATTCCCTTCAACTTCCCTTTCAAATTAAGTTGTTTTACCAGTTAACGAAGAGTATCATTCGGGATTAAAATATTTCGCACAGTAAATTTCCGTACAGCTATCGCATTGTGTTTGGAAATAATAACAAACAATAGAGCGGACTTGTCAGGAAATACTGAAGAGAGGCACGTACTTCTCACTTACCTTTCTTGAGTAAATGAGGGGGAAATGTGTGCTTACAGCAAATGAGTTGATCCATATTAGACCTAATAGGACGTTCCAGAACATAAAATACATACTGACATTTTACCAAAAGTGAAATTAAACCTACATTGGGAAATTCAGCAGCAAAATAGACGCTTATTTTTCATGGAGCGGCCCGGATGGGATATCACAGCTCATCCGCCTTCCTCCCTTCAACAAAGCATGAAAACCTGACAAGGAAAAAAAGCTATGACCCCGTTACATCGATAAAAATAATTTTTGATGATCACAATTCTACCAGTGTTCCTCTATTGCTATGCCCTTCAAAGCTTCCGCGTTATGTTGAAGGTATAAATCAAAGGTGGTTTTCCCCTCAGTACCATTTTTTTCATTTGGATTCATATCAAAGGAATACGTCGATTACTCACCACAAATCGTTTTCTAATGGCGGAAGTTGAGGCAGGTGTTGCACTTGCCGATATCTCCAGCAAGCCAGGAGAAAGGTAGGTGTGCTTTTTATTAGACACCTGGTCATATAGATGATTTTTTTAAAGAAAATGCACGCCAAGTTGATTCAGTAATGCCAATCAGTATACAACTAGCACTGTTTACAACCAGCAAGAAGCTATTTTAAAAGATATAGTGTTTCGTTTCCGGGTTAATAATTGTAGTGGACAGCGCGACCCTTTTTTTAATATTTAGAACGTATTAATTCAGCTGAAATTTCATCGGCCTGACAGATGTCCGTTCCTTTTCTACTGTATAACTTTCACCTTATTTCATAGCATTTCACTCCTCAAGTATTATTTTTACTTCAAGTAACACTGCTTTGTATTTTCCGTGAATCTTCTCCAACATGTAACGAGGTTACTCCTGTAGTGAACATGTTTACCTCTATATTCTGCTGTCGTTTAAATGGCTGCTGTCTGGTTTTTGTCGAATGTTTTAATGACCAAACTTGGTTACGGCCCACTGGGTTTTTTGAAGTTGTTTACATTACCAATTACCGCGAAAAGAGATAACTAATTCACATTTTTCGACGAAATGTAGCTTTAATCTAACCTAAAATCACAAAATCGTTAAATGTTTCTATTTGTGATACATTCACTTCCTATTTTTTGTAATTTATTAAGATCGTGTTTTTGCAGCTCGGGCTTGTTTACATTCTCTTTTACCGAAACGTCATTTAACCCGCTAATTAAATGGCTCTCTGTGAAAGGAAACTTCTAATTTCATATACTTTGTTTAAAGATGACGTTTGGTGACTCTTTTTAAAGGCAATATCACTGATCAATTCTTTGAAGTTTACTTCAGTAACCTAAAACGTCATTGCCTTCTCGCAAGATCGACATATGTGCAGATATATTAAAATGCTGTTGTAGTTTTGTTTCGCATATATTATATTAGTATTTGTCTGGGATCATTTTTTTTTCTCGAGATACCGCTTTCTCCGTTTATTTGAAGTTCCAGCAAAGGTGACTCGAAGCACGGTTTCCTTTGACGTGATTTTTATGCTCACTGTTTTGTGTTCTAAGCTGTAAAATTGTCGATCATCTGTCAGAGTAAACGTTTAGCACACCTGATAAACGGCCGCTTTACCTGTGTTATATTCGTGATAATAGTGTGGAAATAAATGCCACACATGAAACATGAAGAAAAGCTTAACCTCTAGCTGAAATAAACTTCCTTACTAAGAAACTCACGGTGATGGTGAGCCAAACATTTCGAGCAAATGATTCACTTAAAACAGTGATGATTATGAACACATAAACATGGAGGACAGACTGAAGAGAACCTTCAATAAACACTAGTGATTTAACCTACACAACAATATAAAGTATTTCAAAAGTTCGTATTAGGTTTTGTCTCTATTATGACAACAGTAGAGCCGGGTAGGTTATTTTTCATTCCCTCATTGGTTCGAAATGTCTACTTTGAGGCTGTTAGCTGTTACAGTGAGGGGTGGCCTTCCCTTCCGCTAGAATAAAGATATAATCATCAAGGAGCTTTGTAAAGGGAACTGTTCACTTTGTTGGAGAAAAAGTCTTTAGCGAGCTTAAAATTCGCGCCAACAATGATTTGCTGGACTGGGTATGTGTCTGCCTTCAAAAATCTTTAGTTCTGGAACAAAGTTTGTGTGTTAGTATCAGGTTTTGGCTAAGCCCTCTGCAACAAAGAGCTTATCAAAAACAGATTATTTGTGTATGATTATATCATACCTGCAAACAATTTTTTTAACCTCTTCATGACTGTTCTCATTGTAAATGATGCCATGAGGAAAGCTGGAAAGTAGATCGGTATTCTACAAGTGTCATTAAAGCTACAAAATAAAATGAGTTTCCCATCTACTCCTTCCAATAATTCAAAGAATAAACTTCGAGAAGTTTTCGTTATCTTCCAGGTATCTTTTGATTTTTAAGGATTACTTCTTTCTGTGCTTCTACAATTGAATTACACTGTCCATTTTCAATATAAGTGATAAATGTAGACAGGAGAATATATTCTCGTGATGTGGAACGTTGATTTCTATAATTACCTCTCTACATACATCCCTAGATAAGTTTATTCATCTGCTGAAGGAAATCTTTATAAACTGTGACTATAACCGCCTTGCTTCTAGA